AAAATTCAAGATTTAAGATTTCATTAAAGACCCTTTATAATTTTTTATTAGCCAGCCTTATCTCTGCAACATAAACAATGCCATCAACAACTTCGATAAGTCCTTTGTTAGGGATATAATGATGCTTATATTATTACCCAAATAAATAAGCCCAATAATACCAAATAAATAAGCCCAATTTATAATAATAATAATTATTATTAGTAGTAGTAGTAGTATTAATATTAATATTTATTATTATTACTAAATATTATTGTTGTTATTAGGCACATTACTTTTATTATTGTATTTTACGTAACAAATAGCAAACTAAATCGATACAATAGAATGACAACATTAATATTTAGTATTGTTCCTAAGAAACGAAAATCATTAATCAACACGATTAAAATTAATAATGAAGTACTGTTTCGTAACAGGGCACTTACAGTATTGTTGTCAATTGTGCTAAGCATTGTGCTGCTTAGTTGTTGCTGTTGGGGTGCCGGTACCACCACATCCATCGAACTAATCAGCTCCAGAAACTTCAGGTCTATATAGGACTAATTAGGCAAGAAAATACAATTTAAATGCAACTGACGGATTACACTGCTAAATTCATATTTTGTACGTATTTGGAATTTTGCAATAAAAATTCAATCAATAAGTCTCTCCTGAGCCTTTTCGGAGTTAGTGACATATTTTTAAAACTGAAAATAAATAATAGAAGATTACATGCTTCAAAAATCCATATTCTTTTACCTTCAACTCCGAGATGGTTTCGTTCATTGCTTCCTTAAAAATTTCTTTTATCTCCTGCTTCGTCATCCCATTAGTCGCATTTTCTTCCTTCTCATTTTCCTTTTCTTCCTCTACCTCCATTTCTTCCAAAACTCTGTCGTGTTCAACGGCAATCCTTGCTATACAAAATATAATAAAATCGATATGGTGGCTAGTTCAAATAATGAGTTATACATATTATTATTATTCTGTTATTCAGACTTGGGTTTAATTGTCTAATAAATAAAATTTCATGAACTGAATGTATTAATAAATCTTACCATCTTTAATTTGTTTCGACGTCCTTCCTGTAATGTAAAACAAAGATTTGATGATTATTAATTTGGAATTCAATAGCAGTAGTCAATGAATATATAAAGTGGTGTATAGTATCCCTTAACATAAGAAATTAGGCTTAAATTACCTTTTCGTTTTCGCTTTCTTTTGGTTATTGGTTGTTCCGCCTCATCTTCCTCTTCTCCGCTCATGATTATTTCTGCCTCGGTTATGATTCCTTCTGCTTCCTCCTCATTCTCACCGTCCTCTTCCTGTTCGATTTGAGGAGTCGGCGATTTCTTGTTAGCTGAACATAAATAAAGTGCACACAGTATACATTAATTTGCTAAGAAAAATACCGTAATTATTAATAATCCTGCATTGGCAAAATAAAGATCGATAGCCATATTTTGTTTACGTTACGGGTGTAACAAGGTTCATGGTATTACCCTTAACATGTATAGAATCTCTTAATATGTAGATATTAAAATA